GAACTCTATTTTACTTTTTACAGAATAGATCTAGCTCATTTCGTTTAAGAGTTATTTCAATTCTTGAGGCGCCTAACATTATTGGCCGATTAGATAACATGATATGTGAAGTGCAGGTATAATAGCTATATAGAAACATCAAGCACAACACACTCCGTGCTCTCAATGTACTCTTTACCAACTCTATGATCAAGATGTATAATACATTATTTGATTAAGTTATACAGTAATACTATTTGGAAGATTTCCAAGATCTATTAAATGCACTAAACGCTACTAGGGTCCTTATTACAACATAAATTAACTATTATAGTATTTATGCAGTTATATAAATAAATACTGTATACTGTTATAATTGACAATATAAAAAATTAATAATATTTTTAATATATATAAAGTATTTATGAAAAATTTGATTTTCATTACTTTAAAAAAATAACTTTAATTTATTTAATTGAAACTTTTGTTTAAAAAATACATTTATTTAAAAACTTTTGCACAAATAGTGCAAAAACACACAAATAGTGGGGATGTTTTGTAGATTACATTTTTGTAAAGACTGTGTGTATGTGTTGTACAGAATGGGACTTAAATAGGGGCCAAATTGGGTCACATTAGACCACATTTGGCTATTTTTGAGGTGCAATATATTTTGGGAATGGGTGTACAGTATTGTGTTAATTGTCGGCAGTGTTTGTGTACATTATTTAGGTTACAGTAATTGAAATGATATTTAAATTCTATTGAATTTATTGCAAAAATTGATGAAATTATTTATCTAAATAGAAATAGCATTTAATTTAAGGTAAAATTCATTTTACCTTTACATATACTATAACACTATTTATACTGTATGAAAACTGTATTTATACTGTACTGTATGAAAAAAGTTACATTGGCAATGTAACATTGCGTATAAACTGAAATAATAATATTTCTATTTTTTTAGTTTAACATGGTAGTGTTAATTCTATGGAAGTAACGTTATTTCTATGAGATAATGCTTTTTCTGTAGAGATTTTTCCTGTTGAGATATATTAAAAGAACGACAATTTTAATAAATCTAATTGTTTGTTAAAAATATATAAGTCTCATGCATTTTTGCAAGTTTCTTTAAAAGTCAAACGTATAATTATTTAATATTAAAAAGTTTAATTACTTAATTATTATTTACGTAATCATACGTAAAATGATAGAAAATAGTTGTAAACAACATGATAAGACAGTATAGCTTAGAGTGACCAACTTGCAAAATAGAGAAACGTATACATTTTTAATACATTTTTAATACTTTTTTAATATAGACATTTCGAGACATTCGTGTAGATTTTAGTAAACTTGCCTGTACGCTTGCCTGGACAGTAATTTATATATAATGACAAGATAAATTAATTGAAATCCAAAATATGAACGTATTTCAACTTTAATTTTAACAAAATTTTTTAAAAATTGCGTATTTTTAATTAAAAACAAATAATTTTGTTATAATCGTTTAAAACTTTTATCTGATTTTTATCATTTTTTAACCTAGACATTATATTGTACTGACGAGACCACTGCCTGTACATTACACTGAACAAATTGTCCAAAACATATGTTGTACATGCCAAATCTGTACGGTTGGTCACTCTAATCTAGCTGCATTATTTTTTGCTGAGGTAAGTAACATAAATGTTCGCATAATAGGCTACAAGTGTTGGCTGAACGACACGCTGTACTACAAAATAACTTTAATTAATTGCAACAAACAATTGTATGAAAGGGTGGGAGACATAGAAAATAATGGCCAACAAAACTACGCTAACAGTGTTATTTGTGCCGATATTAGCCGCGGGTCGTATCAATCCGTGTATAAGTATTGCCGAACAGCTGATAGCCAGCGGACACCGGGCGCTGTTTGTGGTGAACGCCGAGTGGTCGGGCCGTCTGACCCCATATGGCATCGAAGAGGTACTGTTGGCCGCAACGGACGAACCGGTCGGCCGTGCGATGAATGCGACCGAAACGGCCAAAACTTTGATGGCTTGGGGTTGGGTTAGCGGCAACTCTCCCCTACAGAAAGAGCGACTCCATAGACGAAGTGAGCTATGGATGACTTATCCCAAGTATTTAGACCGACAACTGGACGCTCTATTGCCCGATATTCAGCCCGATGTCATAGTATTGGATACTTTCGGGAAAGTGCCCGCAATCGAGTTGTATGGCGCGCCGTGTGTCAAGTCATGGGGTGAGGCACCTCTGGCCATGATTGACGATGATAGGGCACCGCCACCATGTTCAGGTTTGTCCAAAACACTCAATTAATATGAAAACTAATACCGAGTTAAATGACGGCCCAATACATAGGACTGTCCGCTACGGGAGACCAGAGCTTATGGCAAGAGTTTCGTCGGGCGAGTAGAGACGCAAAGAGAGACCTCTGGCGGGCGTACAATGAATGGGTAGTCGGCCGGGCTGCGAACCACTGCCCGAATACACTTTCCATAATCACTCCCGTTATCTTCATATATACGGCTATCCCCTTGAGTTGGACTATCAGGACATCCGGCCGTTGGGACGCAATTATGTGCGTTTCGATAACCTTATGCGCGTCGAAAGGCACCTGACATTCGCTGTACCGCCAGAGTTGGCCGCAAAGCCCGGAGCGTTAGTCTACTTCTCTATGGGAACTATCGCTTCGATTGACGTGCAAAACATGCGCCGATTGGTCGCCATTTTGGCCAAATCTCCGCACCGTTTTATCGTATCGATGGGTCCGTTGCATAAGGAGTACACTCTGGCCGACAATATGTGGGGCGCGGCGTCTGTGCCGCAGATCCGAGTCCTACCGCTCGTGGATCTGGTGCTAACACACGGCGGCAATAATACTGTCTCCGAAAGTCTATACTTCGGGCGACCGATGATAGCTATGCCTGTATTTGGCGATCAATACGATAACGCGCAGCGCATTCACGACAAAGGCTTTGGTCTACGACTGGACGCATACAAGTGCTCAGAGGAGGAGTTGTTGGCGGCGATCGAGACTCTGCTCAACGATAAGACAATGTCTGAACGCTTGGCCGAAGTTTCCCGAAGAATACAATCGGATAATAGTTTATCAAAAATGTCACAAATTATTGAAGATTTTGTTCAGAATCCATTCAAATATATTGATTAGAGTTTAATTACATTTATTTATATTTAATTTTGTTTTAATTAATAAATATGGTAAAATTTTTAGGACTGCCTCATATAAGCTAAGATGTAAAGGTTTGAAAAATTTCAATAAAATTAATTAATTTTAAAACTAATTAAATTAATAAATTCGACTTTATTTGGCTACTATATACCATACGAAACTTTTTATTCAGCAGTACAATTGGTCCATTAGTTGACATCAATGCACTTTATTTCTTGACCCTATTTTTGGCCACAAATGAGCATAGACATTTTAAAAGCCTTAAATATTGTAAATACTAATAAGTAAAGCCTTTCAAAATATGCATTTATAAGCACTCAAATATGTCATATAATATGCACTAAAAAGTGGCCAAATATGCACTCAAATATGCACTTATAATTTTGTTAATATACTATATTAATATTATTTA